ATGAGTTGGACCTGAATTGTCCAACAGGGACGGTAAGCCCTGTTGGATTTTAGTAAATGCCTAAATGGTGCACTACCTAGTGGATAATAAACCATGTTTAATCAGGGTGTCAATATTGCACTGACATACATATTGATTTTATTATTAAAATGATATATATTAAATATCAAAATTTTTAATTTATTGTTTTGGATTTATCACTATATATAAATTTTTAGTCTTTCAATTTCTAATATATGTATATTTTTAAATCAATTTCTGAAAATTATGTAAAAATGAGAGAAAGAGCCGCGCACAAAATATGTCATTATATGGCCATGAGCTAGGTATATTAATGTCATTATATGGCCATGAGCTAGGTATATTAATGTCATTATATGGCCTTTATATATTATGCTATGGTATTTTATGATTTGTCTTTTTCAGTTAACAATTAAATTACTATGTATTAATTCATTGATAAATATCTTAAATTTGAATATTAAGATTAATAGAGAAAGTTTTAGAAATAAAAGAGTTATTTTTTATTATATCATTTATTATCTAATGTATAAAAAAATTTGTCAAATAATATTGTATATCATATAAATTGTTAATTTAACATTAATTACCGAAAATATTTTGAAAATTAATTAAGTTCGATGTATTTGTGTTTTGTACTCGTATAAATAATTTAATGCTAACTAGTGGTCCGTAATTTTGTATAATTTGATAAATAAAAATGTTAAATTAAGAATTTTATGTATTTCAATTTAAATTGTACATTAAAAATATAGTGTTGTTGTTGAAATTACTAAATTACCATTAATGAATAAATATAAAGAAAAATTTTATTAAAAGTAATTTAATAATTTTAATGTCAAGATTGCACTTTTAATGTAGTGTTATTAATTTTCAAATTAAATAAAGTTATTTAAGTTTCAACTCTCTGGAAAGATCAATAAAGAAATAATTTTTTTATGAATTTTTTTGTCTAAATTTGTATGGATTATCTTTAATTGAAGTAAAAAAAAATTAATTTTAAAGTATACAAACTATCAAAAGACACCCTAACAGCCAATAAAAGAAAAAAAATAGAGAAGTAATTAGAGCCACACCATACCAAACGCTCAAATATTAATTAAACTTGTGTACATATTATTACTATTAAAAATAAACTTAATTTCTATTTTTATATAAATTAATTAAAAAAATTTACAACTAATACATTTTTAAAGCACAAATTAAAAAAACCATCTTAATTAACAAAAACAAAATTTCCTTGCAAGTCAGCGTGTCAACGTACGTTTTATAACATTTCACATCGAAAGCAAAAGCAATTAATCATTGGGTCGGTTTGGTTTCTTTTTTTTTTTT